AAAGATGTAGGAGGCATCAGATGTGAATTCATCCTGCCTGCCTATTAGTAAGAAGATGGTATGGACGGATGGATGCTTTTACTTGAGGCTCCTAAGGGAAGTTCCGTAGCCCAGCTCGAAAAGAAATATTCCTTCTTTGTCCCCAACAAGGAACTCATCTGTGTTGGCACATGGAGTGATATCATGTTTTCCTTGCTGCTGGAGTATTCCCCATGAGGAAAAGCTAAAGTTTGGAACTTATAAACAAACTGGGGTGGTAGTGATGGTAGGAATAACCAGAATTTATACCATTATGAAAAGAGTAGAGAAAACTGGTTGGCTTTGATTGAGGGAGCTTCCAGCTGACCAATTTACTGGGCATTCATCCTGCTTTGTTTGCAAGGAGGCTAGATGGGGTTGCCTGTTTAAGGAGCATTCATCCTGATTCATTTGTGGGGTGGTTGGATGTGGCTGCATCAAAGCAAATATCATCCCAGGGCATTTCCCCATCCCAAAGAATCCAGTCATTTTGGGAAGCGAGTTTATTGCACAAGACCACCCACTCAAACATAATTGTGCAACCATAATTTGCTGGTGGCGCTGTGGGTTAAACCACAGAGCCTAGGGCTTGCCGATCAGAAGGTCGGTGGTTCGAATCCCCGTGACGGGGTGAGCTCCCGTTGCTCGGTCCCTGCTCCTGCCAACCTAGCAGTTCAAAAGCACCTCAAAGTGAAAGTAGATAAATAGGTACCGCTCCAGCGGGAAGGTAAACGGCGTTTCCGTGCGCTGCTCTGGTTCGCCAGAAGCGGCTTAGTCATGCTGGCCACATGACCCGGAAGCTGTACGCCGGCTCCCTTGGCCAATAAAGCAAGATGAGTCCTGCAGCTCCAGAGTTGGCCACGACTGGACCTAATGGTCAGGGGTCCCTTTACCTAATTTGCTGGTATGTGATTGAATTCCATCTGAAAAATGATGGTTTGGAAGTGCCCCCCTGCCAAAAAAAAGTAATGCTGAAGGTTAGTTAGGGGCATGCACAGTGGGCCATTGTGCCACATACAGTTTTGTCAACCAACAGAAGGGTGAAGGAGAAACAGTCTACTGCTACTGCCACAAATAGCATTTGTCTCCTGAAGCAGTCATCTCACTCAGCCTAATGGTAGGGCCGTCTCCCTTAATGTAGCACTCCCCCCCCCCACTTCTGCCCACTAGAAGTGAATCCACTCATTCATAGGAAGAAAGTGAAGGGATACATTTAGACACATAACCAAGGGGATTAAAGCTGCAGAGGTAAGGCAACATATTTCACCTTTCCCCAATTGCACCTCAGATTTCAGCCTCCTTTACTTTCTTCTACACATTTCAGTAGGGTCCAGTAGGTTTGAGTCAGACCTCCATAATCCCACCCTGTGTTTTTGGAACAATGCTGGAAGGGTGACATAAGCTTGGACATTTAAGAATGTGACCAAGAGAAAGAATGTTGGGAAATACCCAACGAAGGCTTCCTTTGGTTTCTAAGTGTGACCAAGAGAATACCCAGGAGTCTTAAGAGTTATAAAAAGGGAAAGACAGAAACTACCTATGGAAATTCCTTGCCACACACAAGATAAATATAGGCTGGTAAGCAAAGAAACCAGCTTTCCTTATGGCAAAAATGAACAATTCCTTCTATTACTAACATGCAAGCTTCAGGTGCTGTCGATTATGTACGTAGCGAAAAATGACACCAGCATGAGCTCGCCAGAGAGATCCGACAGCAGGCTTAGGGGAAACGCCAAAGTTTGCAGACATATGAGCAAACAAAAACCGGTGAAAAACTCTAGTGGGAGGGAATCCCAGGCTAGCTCAGAGAGGTCTGAGCATGTTCAGTGGTCATGGTATGCAGATTAGATATTTGGCAGGGCAATGAGAAAACACTGAGTTGAGGTGGAGAAGCTAGAGTCCTGAACATCAGCAGCACTCCATAATGTTCTGTTGCAGTTTCTACTGGGGTTTTTTTAATTACAGTTATTAAAGAGTTAGATGAGGATGGGATGGGTGTGTGTGTGTGTGTGTGTGTATCAGATAGAGAGGATGTCTCCCCACTCCTCCCAACCCAGGGGAGAGAGAAGGGATGCTGTTAGTACGATTAGCTGAAGCCAGGCAGGCAGGGCGTACCAACGTCACAGAGGTCCCCTCCGTAGCTGGGAAGGCATAAGCATTTGAAAGTGTGGATGCCATCGACGCAGGTAGCTCCATTCAGACAGGGGCTGGAGTGGCACTCATCAATGTCTGCAAGAAATCAAGGGCTGCCATTAGGACTCAGGCTCTGGAAAGAGGTCCATCAGCAGGAGAAAGGCTTTCCTTGCTTGCCTTGCAGGGCAGGGCAGGAAGAATGAATGAATGGATGGTTTGGAGGCAACGGGGAAAACTTGGAAGTGGGCACCAGCTTTCACCTTAGAACGGTCACCACCAAAGAAGCAGAAGAGGAACGGGGAATGGGAAGGGCAGGCTAGGATGTGATAGGAGGGCTTCCCTTTTGCTTGCTAGCAGGGATGACAGATCAACCATAGAGGCAAACGACTGCTTGCATTTGGGAGAAAGAAAGGCAGCTTAGTACTTTGATGGGGAGGCACTCAAGATCTATAAGATTGTGATGGGCTACCCAGGACATAGACATGCTCATAAAGGAGAGAAGATAAAAGAAAATTGTGGGTCATTTTTGTGATGAGAGGACCTAAATGGAAAAGCGAACCCTTGGACCGAAGTCAGGAAAGGGAGCTTCATATGTTTGAAAAGTTATTTAATTGTATTAGTGAGCCACTGGCATTTTTCTCCTTTAGGCCCACAAGTTAAAAAACAACAACCTTATAATTCCAGAGACTTTTTATTTTATATAACAAATGCTGGAAATTCAGAGGAGGGAGATGTGGTTATGTAACAGTCCTAAAGGACAGGAAGAGAAGTTTCTCTGGCACCTTCATTACACAGCAAATGTTGAAAGTGCCCCTCTTTATCCTGCCTGTTGACACTTAAGGTTTGTTTTGTTAGGACCCACCATGTTTCCGTGTTTGCAAGTTGTTTTAAACTGTTTTTAATATTTTGTTTTAATTGTTGTAACCCTGGGGACCTTAAGGTGAAGGACAGGTAAATGATTATGATGATAATAATGCTATGATATTGTTATGCTTCTCAACATGCAATGGCAGGAGGCAAGATCTTAATTCATCTAGAGCAGAAAAAACCCACAACCTTAGCTTTGCCCCCTCCCAAGCTGGTGAGCCCTATAGGTCTTGGTGTTACAGGTTATTTATCAATGAAAAGGAGCTCCAGTTTTTCCAAGTCTTTTTAGCACACCCTGCAAAATCAGTTATTGCCATGACTTTCTGTTGTCTGCTTCATTTGGTCATATCTGCTTGTGGCTTTCTCACCCCTCTGGTCACCTAGCTATCATTCGGTAGAGCCTGAGACAATCTCCGGGTTGTGGGTTTGAGCCCTGAATTGGGCAAAAGATTCCTGCTTTGGACTAGGTGACCCCCCATAGTCCCTTCCAGCTCTACAATTTTATGATTCTATGAGCTGATGAAAGAGTTATCCAGCAGAAAGGAAGCATGTCTAAACCAGGAGAGGGCAGGAGGCAAATCAGGATCTACTGGGTCATCTATGGGTAACTTGCAGTAGCTCAGCGAGGGTTGGCAACTTCCAGTGGTTTAAGAAGAGTGACCCCCCCCCAAAAAAGCGCCTTTCAACTCCTCTCCAAAATCTGACTGCTGAAATCGAGAAAGTTTGGGAGCAAACAGAAGTAGGTGTATGTGTGAATGGATCCATGCAGCAACTCCAGTTCTGGTACTGAAAGCAAGTTCTTGGTCTTTGAGCATGTTCTCAGCAGCACCTTGTTCCTGAGCCACTCTTCTGTACTGCCATTCATCCTGATTTGCTCGTGGTGTGTTTATACGTCTTCCCACTAGTCAGCCATTCATTCCACAACTGCAAAAAGTCTGTTTCTTTTTCTTTTTTTAACGTGCATCTGTTGCCCCAGGCCAGCAGAAGGCTTCAATCCACTTTAATTGTGCACGCCTAAATTTCCCAGTATGCTCTTGAGTTTCTCCCACAAAACACTGACAGCCTAGAGGGGGCCTTTGTCTGCTTCTAGTTGTTTCATTTTTATCCAGAGCCTTAGACACTGGTCATCATCACACATTCATTTCACAAGCCAAGCGATAAGAGAAGATAACCAGCCACATCCTTATTTCCAACTTTGGACTCATCCAGACTTCCTTTTGTATTGCATTTCTAGGCACAGGTTGGGGCTTTAAAGATCCATTCCCGAGCTTTGTTTTTTGCTTTTTTGCCTCAGTGTGTTTTCCCCACGTTTACTGCTGAATCGGAGGAAACGGCAATCAGGTTTTCTGCAGATTGTCGTTTTCTCCGATTTGGTGGTGAAACGCAGGTTTTCCTGGGGAAAGTGCTGAGACCAAAGCAAACAAACAAATGCTCAGACATGAAAGGTATAATAAAGCATGGACCTCTTCCTGGAAATCGCAGCACAAAAGGAAGTGTGGATGAGCTAAAGAAAATAAAGGAACAGCATAGGAAATTAACAGCCTGTACATTATAGAAAACCCATCTAAACTTGAATCAAAAATTTCTCTGCACCCCACAGCCACATCTCCTTTCTCACTTGTATCTGCTAAGAAAACAAAAAATGGCTTTTGCACAAGTAACTTATGGTGGTTTTCTCTCCTTTTCTTTGACAGTGAACAGGCAATCATGCCATTTCTCCTCCCATCTAAAAAAACTTCACCATGGAATTCTGAAGTATGCGTAGACTGGCTGTTAGGGAATAAGTGCTCCAGCTGATGAACTATTTATTGATTTGCTTGTGCAAAGGTTACACAGAGGTGAGATTATATCCAGTCTTCATTTAGTTTGGTTTGTTTGCAAGAAATTTCTATAATCTTAGAAAAAACATAGGAATGGGGGGTGTGATTCAGTTCACATTTAAAGGCAAATCTATCTAACTCGCACTGTCCAAAACAATATGAGAATTGAGACAAGAAGAAGAAGAAGAGTTTGGATTTGATATCCCGCCTTTCACTCCCTTTAAGGAGTCTCAAAGCGGCTAATATTCTCCTTTCTCTTCCTCCCCCACAACAAACACTCTGTGAGGTGAGTGGGGCTGAGAGACTTCAAAGAAGTGTGACTGGCCCAAGGTCACCCAGCAGCTGCATGTGGAGGAGCGGAGACTCAAACCCGGTTCCCCAGATTACGAGACTACCGCTCTTAACCACTACACCACACTGGCTCTCAAACACAGGGATCTTTGAAGATTGCACTTCTCTGAATTTTGCCATGCAGTTCTCCAGCCAAGTAATGTGTACCAAAATGCACATGGTCATGTAAAGTGTGCACAAAAATGTGCATATGAGTGAAAAGTAACATAAAAATGCACAGCATATGGGGAAATATAAATATTAGGAAATGTGTACATCAGGCAAAATTTGCATACAAAATTTGTATATTAGGGTAAATTTGCAGCAAAGTGGTGATGAATTTTCACGGGAACCTTTTTTTCTTAAAATTGCAAACTGATGTGGAAATGTGGAGAACTTAAGATTGGAAAAAATGAGATACCGAGAGAAAATGTAATTGACAGATTCACCCATCCCTAGCTGTCAAGGAATGTGGCTCTATAGCACTTTCCTGAGAAACGTTATTTTGCCACTTCTTCTCTTATACAGAAAAACCCTCCAAGGTATAGTGATGTAAAGTGCTTACTCTAAAAAGACCTACCAGCAGAGAACAGGTAAGCACTGGGAGTCAGCACGGTTCAGCATTTGCTGAGCTCCACGCCCCAGAAGGGTGTGACTGCTGCGAATTCCCTGAACCTGCTTCTCCTCCTCTTCACCTCTATCTCTTGCTCGCTTGCTTTATCTCTTCCTCTGGCCCAGAAGATATAAGCAAGGGAATGGCAATAGTGGTGAGATGAAGGAGCAGCAGCAGCCTCGGCCTACCTGCTTCCTGGCTTTTTACCTGGCAAGAGAGCAGGTGATGGCAAAGGCAAGGAGGAGCAACAGTAGATGGCGCTGTAAGAACATAAGAAGAGCTTTTCCTGGATAAGACCAAAGTTCCATCTAGTTGGACATCCTCTTCCCACGGTGGCCAACTGGGTGCCTACAGGGAGCCCACAAGCAGGACCTAAGTACAATAATACTCTTCCTCACTTGTGATTCTCAGCAACTAATGTTCAGAGGCATATCACCCCAGACCTTGGAGGTATAGTAAAAGGTAAAGATAAAGGACCCCTGGACAGTTAAGTCCAGTCAAAGGCGACTATGGGGTTGCGGCACTCATCTCGCTTTCAGGCCGAGGGAGCCTGTGTTTGTCCACAGACAACTTTCCAGATCATGTAGCCAGTATGACTAAACTGCTTCTGGTGCAATGGGACACCGTGATGGAAACCAGAGTGCATGGAAACACCGTTTACCTTCCTGCCACAGTGGTACCTATTTATCTACTTGCACTGGCATGCTTTCGAACTGCTAGGTTGGCAGAAGCTGGGACAGAGCAATGGGAGCTCACTCCGTCACGGGGATTCGAACCGCCAACCTTCTGATCAGCAAGCCCCAGAGGCTCAGCGGTTTAGACCACAGCGCCACCCGTGTCCCTATGTAGCACATAGCCATGATAATGGAAACGACTCAAAGCAACTTACAGACACAACAGAAATACTGAAACTGATTCCAACAAACACAATCAATAAAAAAAAGAAAGAACCCCACCTGTATACAAAGATCTTACAGATCCTGCCACACTGAAAGAGGTCACAAATACTTGAAAACCCTTCAGATTAAGGGCCAAAAGCCTCTGTAAAAAGGCAAAATTTTGCCAGGTGTTTAGAAATATATAAAAGATGCCTGGAGAGCTACCCTGAGGACAGTGTTTCTACAAGCGGGAAGCCACCGTTGAAAAGGCCCGTTTTTGTGTTGCCACCCTTTGAATCTCCTGTGGCGGGGGCAGATGGAGAAGGGCCTCAGATGAAGACTGCCGCATCTGGGTTGTTCCACATGGAGACAGGTATTGCATCTTGGTGGTAAGCATTGATAGCCTTATCCTCCATGAATTTGACTCATCCCCTTTCAAAGCCAGCTAAGTTGAGGCCATTGATCCATCTCATGGTAGCAAATTGCATCATTTAACTATTCACTGTGTGAAGAAGTACCTCATACATTCAAAGCACTATGATCAGGGTGGATCTACTATAAAACTAAAGAAGATTAAGCTTCAGGCCCCCTAAACGTAGAGGGGCCCCAGAAACGACTTTAATCCACGCTGCTTAATTTTTTTTGGGGGGGAGGGGCTAGTACATCCAATTTGAGTCACACAAATCAAATTGATTAATTTTTTGTTGTGTCCCAATCCCAAAGTTTGAGCTTCAGTAGCACAGATGTTCTACAGGTGGTGTGTTGCAGGAATTCGAAAACTAAAGGGATAGGAAATTTTTATTCACGCCAGTGACTTTGACATGTGAGATAATTTTGACATGTACAGCGATTTTAATCAAAATCTGAGATGTAGTAGTTAATTATTTTTTTTTTAAACAGTGGTGATCTTTTGTGGAACAGCCCCATTGAAAAAGATAAAAGTGGTTATTCAGACCTCATTACTGGTTGTGAAGCCCCCCCAACCCAAAACAGTTCAAGCTTCAGGGCCCCAAAATTGTAGGTCCATCACAGACTATGATACCACTTTAAGCAGTCATGGGATCCTCTATAGCGGGGTTTCCCAAACTTGGGTCTCTAATTGTTTTTGGACTACAATTTCATCATCCTTGACCACTGGTCCTGCTAGGTAGGGGTAATGGGAGTTGTAGTCCAAAAACAGCTGGAGACCCAAGATGGATGGAGATGATAGATAGATAGATAGATAGATAGATAGATGATAGATAGATATGATAGATAGATAGATATGATAGATAGATAGATGATAGATAGAGATGATAGATAGATAGATAGATAGATAGATAGATAGATAGATAGATAGATAGATAGATAGATAGATAGATTGATAGATGATAGATAGATAGATGATAGATGATAGATAGATAGATGATAGATAGACAGATAGACAGATAGAGAGATAGATAGATAGATAGATAGATCGATAGATAGATAGATATCTCCTCCCTCTTCCTTTCTCCTTTGTAGACAATGTTCAAGACTACCAATGGTTTGGCTTTAGAGACAGAATGCGTAAGGATGCTGATCTGATGGACACTCCCTTGTGAGTTACATTCCAGAAGAACATGGTTTTCAGTGAATAGTCCTGGACTGCTGGGAAACATTTCAGAATAAGAGCTTCCTTCCTCAGAAGGAAAATTTCTTCTTCCTTTTTTAACCCCTCGTGTATTGGGTGTAAAGGGCTACTACTATTTAGGGTTGCCATATGTCCAGAATTTCCTGAACATAGCCGGAATATGGCAGTTGGAAACAGTGTCCAGGCAGAAATCGCTGACATGTTCAGGAAAATCCAGACGTATGGCAACCCCCACCCCCCAAAAGCTCAACCACTTTGCCCAAAAAAGCTCAGCAACTTTTCTGCCTGGATTGTCACTTTTTGAAATACGGTAACCCTACTACTGTTAGTATGCAGGACAAGAGACAGAGGCAGAGACCACATTCACACCATACATTTAAAGCACAGTGACACCACTGTAAGCAGTGCTGCTGTTCACAAAGGCATGTGTATTCCATCTTGGGCTGAGTGAGTCCAGCCCCACTTGCCCTGCAGCTAGAACTATGAATGAAGCCTCCTTCCTGGGGTTGGAATGCTTCACTGGGTGAGAAACTCTCTTCCCAGTGCGGTTACGTATATCAGCTGTTGCGGGGCTGATGCTTGACAGCCATCAATTTTGGATTATTATCCGTTTGCATTGAGCTGCATTCGTTGTTTATTGAATTGTGGATCAGTAGAGCAGATCTGTAGTTCCATGTGCGCTTGAACAAAGAAACGTAACAATAGTGCATTGTGGGTAGCTTATCTGTTCTTCTGTTTCTTGGTTCTGCCTCTGTGCTCAGAACCTGGGATATTTGCCCAACGTGCCCAACAAGCAACATAGTTTTGCAATAACATTTTCTTGGTGGGGTGCATATTACCATCTCAACCTCCATATTAAGAAGAAGTTAGGACTTACCTATGTCACAGCGATCACCCATATACCCAGGTGGGCACACGCAAGTGACGCTTCCATCTTGTTCTTGGCAGGTTCCAGCACCACATGGTTTCTCTTCACATGTCTTGGGCATAACTGCAACCATGAAAGGAGATAAGCATTAATGATCCCTTCCTGTGGTGGCTGGTGCCCTTTGGAACTGGTAGGGTGGAAGGCAGGGAGGCTAACAGTAGGTGGCAGTAGAACCAATGACAGGTGAAGCCTGTCATTCATTTCTTCACCCACATTTGCCTTCAGTCATGCTCTCACCTCCCCCCAAAAAGAAATTCCCAGAAAGACTATGTGGCCCTCAGTTTGAAATAGATTCCTGACCACTGGTTTAGATGAACAGGAATAATGTTCTGTTGATGAAAGGCAGTATGATAAAGGTTGGTCTGGGAGAGACTCAGGGCTCAGCTATACGGCTGCAAATAAAACATTTGAAGTGTGTTTTAAATGCAATATACAATGTGACACTAGATGGCGATGGTGAGCCTTATGGAAAATTCAATGTATTTTTAAAAACACTTTTAAAAATGCATTTTCATAATTTTTTAAAATATGTGTGTAGATTCCACCTCAGGGAGTGTGAGCATTCTGGAGATTCAAATAACCAAGGCTAGCTATTGGGGGTTCCACTGCATATTTTTAACTGTACCTTGTGTAGTAGATTCAGTCTCATCTGTAACCTCTGGTGAAACTTCAGGCAGAACATCAGTGGCAGTTGGAGGTGTTGGTGGAACCTCTGGAAAAGCTGCACCTTCTGTTTCCGAACCTGGTATTTTGTGTGTATAGGCCTCTGTTTCAACCTGGCCTTCTTCTAGATGCTTGGAGTGTGCAGTTAATTCAGCATCTGGTTCACTGGTTCCTGGTAGACTATCTGGCAGCAGAGCTTTCTCCGGAACATCAGAGGCAGGGTCAGGGGGTGGCCCAGAACTATCCCCATGAATCTGGCTTCTTTCTTCAAGTGCCTCAGAGGGCAATCCGCTGAAATAAGGTACTCCAGATGTTTCTGTATGGCTTTCAGGCAATGCTGATGTTTCACTACCCGTTTCATAAAGGGTTGGCATTTCATGGTGGCTGTCTGGTAATGCTGATGCTTCACCACTTGTTTCATGAATGGTGGAAGTTTCTATACCAGCTTCATGAAACCTGGATATCTCACCACTGGTTTCATGAACAGTTGAGGATTCTACACCAGCTTCATGAAATGTGGATATCTCACCACTGATTTCATGAACAGTTGAGGATTCTATACCAGGTTCATGAAATGTGGATATCTCACCACTGGTTTCATGAACAGTTGAGGATTCTACACCAGGTTCATGAAATGTGGATATCTCACCACTGATTTCATGAACAGTTGAGGATTCTATACCAGGTTCATGAAACGTGGATATCTCACCACTGGTTTCATGAACAGTTGAGGATTCTACACCAGGTTCATGAAATGTGGATATCTCACCACTGGTTTCATGAATAGTAGAGGTTTCTACACCGGCTTCATGAAATGTGGATGTTTCACCACTAATATCATGATATTCAGGTGGGCTTATGGTACTTTCATGATATGCAGAAGTCTCTCCACCGGTCGTGGAGGTTTCCCCACTTGATTCTGAAAAATGGGGATGCGTTGCCTCTGTTCCTCCAGCCATTTCCTGTGAAACTGCAGGGCTGGTCACAGCTTCTATAAGATCAGAAGTTACTAAGGTGATTTCTGGGATTCCAGAGGCATCACCACTAGTACCAGCTACAGTTGAAGACTCTCCACTTAGGTCAGTGACACCAGCAATTTCTCCACTAAAATAAGGAACACCCGATGATGTTCCACTGATGTCAGTTGTTCCTGATGGATAGCCGCTAACTGTTGTCACATCGTATGGTTCTCCAGATGCCTCCTTATCTCCTGAAGGAAATCCACTGATTTCTAATATCCCAGATGTCCCTTCTCCAAATTCCTGGGCAACTGATGGCTGTGTTACAACTTCCACCAAAGTTGTATCCACAAGGGAGACCGTGGGAAACCCAGACGTGAGCCCACTGTAATCATAAATTCCAGATGACAAGCCACTGGTGAGACCAACACCAGAACTTTCCCCACTAATGTCTGTTAGTCCACTTGGAAGTCCACTAATTTCATGAGATCCTGAAGTCCACCCACTGAAGTCTATTTGGCCAGAAGGCTGACCACTCACATCTAACATTCCAGACACTGTGCCTGATAGATCTTCATCTCCTGAAGACAACCCACTCATTTCTACAAATCCTTTGCCTTCTTCTTCTTTAGCTGAAGGAGTTGTCACTTCAAACAAATTGGCATCTATGAAGGTAACCCCTGAAGGCTCGCCACTTCCATCAGTACCGGAAGCTTGGCCACTCAAGTCAACGAAGCCACTTATATCAGGTATCCCAAAATGTCCTCCACTGAAGTCAATTCCTGAGGACAACCCACTAATATCTGGTAGGCCAGATGGTTGTCCGCTAGCGTCAAGTCCGGATGGTAATCCACTGAAATCAGGTATCCTAGGCAGCTCCCCACTGATATCAAGTCCTGAGGAAAACCCACTGATGTCAGGTATTCCACTGACATCAAATCCTGAGGGTAACCCACTGGTTATGCCACTCATGTCCCATCCAGGAGAGGGCAACCCTGATAAGTCTCCATCTCCACTGACGCCAATTGTTCCTTTCCCTTCAACTTCCTTGTCCGTTGCTGTAGTGACAACTTCCACCAATGTGGCATTGACAAGGGACACGGTGGGAAATCCAGATGGGAGACCACTGTAATCATACTCTCCAGATGGTAAGCCACTGAAAAAGTCCACACCAGAACCATCTCCACTGAATCCAGAAGGCAACCCACTGATTTCTGGAACCCCTTTGCCTTCTTGAAGTCCAGGTACTCGCTCTTGGATTCCTGAGCCAATCCCTGATGTCAGTTCTTCATCTCCAGAAGGTAAAATGCTGACTTCAATATCACCGGAAGACAGGCCACTTATGTCTCCTGATGGTAGGCCACTCTCACCAGAAGGGAGTCCGCTGAACTCTGTGGCTCCAGAAGGAAACCCGCTTTCTCCAAATCCAGAGGGTTCTCCACTAGGTTCATACATTCCACTTGTATCTGGAGCTCCAGATGTCCACCCAGAAGCAGATGTTTGTGTGATTGGAGCTTCTACACTTGTCTCACTAGGTATGGCATCAATAGGAGCAACAGCTGATGGAATCACTTAAAAAAAGAAGTGTGTGGGAGAGAGAAAAAGAAAGAGAGAGAGAGAGAGAGAGAACATTAAACAAATATTGTTCAAGGACACTATGACATTTCCTCACATGATATAAAGAGAAACATCAGCTTGAACTCTTTTTTTAGTATCAATTGTCCATTATCATCTCTCACTAGCTATGGCAGCCCAGGAACTCAAACAGAAGGTCTCACCCACTGCCTGCTACTGGATCCTTTTCACTGCAGATACCTCGTGTTCCACTGTTGACTATGTGCTGGTCATTGGCAGATTAGATTACAGGCAGCCCTCCATTTATGTGGGGGTCACATTCTGAGGCACTGCACATGTCCGTGAAATCACATATGTTTGAAACACCACTGGAGAAAGCCTGCAACTGCCCCATTCTGTCCCTTTTTGTAACATTTTTGTGACGTTTTAAGCTCACTTATGAGTTTGGAGCAACTCACGTATGCACGGTCATGCACATATTGAACAGGCGTAAATGGGGGAGTTGCCTGTACTGCAATGTGCTCTATATGGGGTTGCCCTTTAGGCTGACCTGGAAGCTGCAGCTAGTGCAAAAGACAGAGACCTGGCTGTTCATTAGGGCAGAATATCACCATACTGCTGTGCAAAGAACCGCGTTGGCTGCCATTTAGCCACTGGTCAAACTTCTAGGTGCTGGTACTGCTGGTACAAAGCCTTATGCAGCCTGCGATCAGGATACCCAGAATACCTAAAAAATTGTCTCATCCCCTACGTGCCACACCTATTGCTGTATTCTGCAGGAAAAGGCATCCTGTCAGCAGGTCTGTTCTGTACAATGTCAGAATTGGCCCTTTAAGTGTGGAGATCTCCCCTATTATAGATCAGGCAGGCACCTTCTCTAAATCTACCATCCTGTAAATTAAGTTCTTTGGATCTAGTTTTGTTCTCTGGGGCATCAGGGAAGAAATCTTTGCCCTGTTCTGTGTCACGTTCCTCTGGGTATTTGAACAGCCCTATCGTGTCTCCTCAATTTTGTCTTCGCCCCTGGTTCCTTCAACCATTCTTCATAGGACTTGTTTTCCAGATGTTGTTGACTCCAACTCCCACCAGTCCCAGTCAGCATACCTAATAGGCCAACAACATCTGGAGACCATAAGTTCCACACCCTTGGTCTACATGAATCATTATGTTAATCACACATAGGAAGCACATGGTTAGAGCCACCTCTGAATAGGGCTGCAAAGTTATAACCATGGAGCCCAACATACCAGACAACAATGATATGTTTGTTGGAAATACTTCTGTTCCCCACTCGGTCTGATTTTCAGAATCAGTGGCAAACTCCATTTCCACAGTTGTTTCCTCCCCAGAAGGGACTTCCTCGACCCCAGGAACTAGCTGGGCTGCAATGAGCTCTTCCTCTATGTCCTCATACTGAGATGGTTGAGCTGAAAGACAAAAAACATCACAGTGAATATCCATGAGTGTCCTGTCTGTCTCAGATGTCTTATGTCTACCCTGTTTAGTGTGGGGAGAATTTTTGGAATACCCTCAATTCTGAATGAATAATGCCCAACTCAATGTAATTCTCATTAGTCTATCATGACACCCATATTTCATTTCCTCAGCTAAAAGTTTTACATTGTTTGTTGTTGTTGTTTATTTTTATTTTTACAATTCCGTCATTAGCCCAGACACTGAGATCTAGTTCCGAGGGCCTTCTGGTGGTTCCCTCACTGCAAGAAGCGAGGTTACAGGGAACCGGGCAGAGGGTCTTCTTGGCAGTGGCACCCTCCCTGTGGAACGCCTTCCCATCAGATGTCAAGGAGATATGTAACTATACAACCTTTAGAAGACATCTGAAGGCAACCCTTTACAGTGGTACCTTGGGTTAAGTACTTAATTCGTTCTGGAGGTCTGTTCTTAATCTGAAACTGTTCTTAACCTGAAGCACCACTTTAGCTGCCGCCGCACCACCAGGGCATGATTTCTGTTCTCATCTTGAAGCAAAGTTCTTAACCTGAAGCACTATTTCTGGATTAGCGGAGTCTATAACCTGAAGCGTATGTAACCTAAAGCATATGTAACTTGAAGCGTATGTAACCTGAGGTACCACTGTATAAGGAAGTTCTTAATGTCTGGTGTTTTATTATACTTCTGGATACGCTGGAAGCCACCCAGAGTGGCTGGAGCGGCCCAGTCAGATGGGCAGGGTACAAATAATAAAATTATTAACAAGATCAATACCAATACCAATGCCACTATCAATATTAAAATCCTGCCTTTTTCCCAGGCTTGGACTCAAAGTGGCTTACAGTTTCCCCATTTTAAAACAATTCACATTGTTCTTCTCTTCTGGAATATATTATGTGGTATTATTCTGGCCTTGTAGTGCTTGAAAAACTTTCTGTGATGAGTCACAGAGACACAAGAACATCAGAAGAAGAGCCTGCTAGCTCAAAGCCCATCTGGTCCAGCATCCTGTTCTCACAGATGCCCGTGGGAAGCCTGTGAGCATGACCTGATCACAACAGCACTCTCCCGGACAATACCTCTGAAACAAAAAGCGTGGTGCTTTGACTGAGGATCAGGGAATCCCGTCTGATTGGGGTATAGGTAGGTGGTCCTCACACCAGGCTTCTCCCCACCACACGCAGGACGTGGGTGAACAATGGGATATCGAAGGCTGCCATCAGCCAGCCAGCCAGCCCGACAGTTATCCAAACCCAGCTTCCAGGCTGCATAGAGTTGACCAGTTGAAGCCAGTGTAGCATTCTGGCTCCGACAGTATTCTTGAGCTTCCTGTAAGGTGAACTGGTCTGGTTGTGTTGCGAAGAAGACCTCACCTAGAGATAAAATAGTAAGCGTGTGAGTTTTGGCTAGATATATTGGAGAGGTCCTATGGAAATGGAAATGGGGGGTGGAAATTGCTGACATTCCCTTATTTGTCCCATGTGTGGAACATAAATTAGTCCAGCAAATATGATTGCTGTTCACCTTTGCTTTCAGTCTGCAAATAATTTATGTAATTAAATACGCAAATTATGTAAGTGATGAAATTTCACCATGGGGGACAGTGAGATTACTAATGCGGGTCCCACCTGCACTATACATTTAAAGCATCGCCATCCCAATTTAAACAGTCATGGCTTCCTCCCAAAATCCTGGGAAATATAGGCAAAGGTACTGATAATTCTAGGAGACCCCTATTCCCCTCAGAAAGGTTCCCCAGGGTTCCCCAGGAAGAGGGTTTGATTGTTAAAAATTGTTTTTTTAAAATCATTTTTATTTGATTGTACAAATATAAATTTATAACAAAACCAAATACATATCTATATAGAGAGATTTCTCTGAATCTCAAGACTTCCCCCATCCCCTCCATGGGTCCTGTTGTCAACATTTTCAACTGCATATCACTTCATAGTCTATATTTTGTATCTATCCATATTGTCCATAGTATTTGTCACACTGGAAGTTAGATTAAAATCCTGCTAATGTTTTCATCTGCTTACATTGATCTCCTAAGTAAATTATAAATTCCCCCCCATTCTTTCTTGAAGTTTTTGTTTTCTTGATCCCTGAGCTTTCTGGTCAGTTTTGCCATTTTGGCATAGTCTAACAGCTTGGCAAACCAAGCTGATCGTTAAAAATGGTTAAACCACTTGATGGAAGATGGACTGCCATGGAATGGGAAGAGCGCTGCCTGTGACTTATACAGGGCAGAGCAGAAACAATGGCATCTTATGCCCCTCGTTTTGACTCAGATTTGTTTCCCATGAATATAAGATCATAATAAGAGCTCTGGTAGATCAGGCCAATGGGCCAGCCTCCTGTTCTCACAGCAGCCAACCAGATGCCTGTGGAAAACCAGAAGCAGGATGCGAGCACAAGACCACTCTCCTTTCCTACGGTTTCCAGAAACTTGTATTCAGCCCTTGACTGTAGAAGCAGAAATAGCCATCATGGCTAGCAGCCATCGATAGTCGGCTCCTCCATGAATTGGTCTAATTCTTTCCAAAGCCATCTAGGTTGGTGGTCTCCTGTAGCAGTGAGTTCCATAGTTTAACGATGTGCTGCATGAAAAGGTACTTTCTTTTGCTTGCCCTGAATCTTCCAGCATTCAGTTCCATTGGATGTTTATGAGTGCCATGGGAGAGGGAGGAAAATGTTTCTCTCCAACCACTTTCTCTATGCCAGGTGTGATTTCATAAACTTCTACGATGTTACCTCCTACTTGCGTTTTCTCTAAACTAAAAAGTCCCAGACGCTGTAGGCTTTCTTCATAGGGGGCGCGTTGTCTCCTTGATCAGTTTGGTTACCCTTTTCTAAACCTTTTCCAACTCTACAATATCCTTTTTGAGGTGAGGTGACCAGAATATTAACATGTCTGGCCAGGGCCGGATTTAGGTTTGATGAGGCCCTAAGCTACTGAAGGTAATGGGGCCCTTTATATCTCCAGCTGCCCTTTGTCAACAACAAATTGTTGCTGTTTTTTGTGTTAAATAATTATAATATTTATATACAGTATTATAGTAGCAAGTGGGGGTAATAGGGAACTATACGTACTAGTAAATAATAATATAGGCCTACTAAATAATAAAGATGAATATTTTTCTACAGTAGTTTTATAATGGGATCAAAATAAATAAATTATGTATTACATGAAATCAATCAGTAGGCATAAGACTCACACCCTTAGTCTATGCTGCCTGATAGAGGCAGTCTACAAGCACTCTTTAATTTTGTTTTTTATCTTATATTTTGGAAATATACATCCAATTTTTTCCCCTTTAAATTTTTTTGGGGCCCCCCAAGAGAGTGGGGCCCTAAACTATAGCTTGTTTAGCTTATACGTAAATCCGGCACTGTGTCTGGTGCATGAATACATTCAAATGCACTGTACTCCCCTACCTCCCACACAGGAATTATGGAAGAAAACTTACCATTCAGTCTGTCAATATAGCAGTAGACATCAAACATCTCGGATGCTGGGCGCATGCCATATGTCCGTACACCTGGGATGTCATCTTTGTCTCCTTCACATTTGCTCCGCGGAACCACAATAGGGTACCTGGCCATTAAAGACATTTGTTATTTTTTTACCCAAGATCTCACACATCTATCTATTTAGAAGATGTATGAATCCCTTGATCAAAGAGCTCTCTGTGTGGTGTGCAAAATAAAGCTGTAAATAAAACACAGCTAAGATCCACAAGTGAGAGCTGGACCATAAAGAAGGCTGATCGCCGAAGAATTGATGCTTTTGAATTATGGTGCTGGAGGAGACTCTTGAGAGTCCCATGGACTGCAAGAAGATCAAACCTCTCCATTCTTAAGGAAATCAGCCCTGAGTGCTCACTGGAAGGACAGATTGTGAAGCTGAGGCTCCAATACTTTGGCCACCTCATGAGAAGACTCCCTGGAAAAGACCCTGATGTTGGGAAAGATGGAGGGCACAAGGAGAAGGAGACGACAGAGGATGAGATGGTGGGACAGTGTTCTCGAAGCTACCAGCATGAGTTTGACCAAACTGCAGGAGGCAGTGGAAGACAGGAGTGCCTGGCGTGCTCTGGTCCATGGGGTCACGAAGAGTCGGACTAAATGACTAAACAACAACAACAAGATCCACAAACCAATTACAAACAAATATGCACGAAACCACCACCGTTAAAAGGAAATAGAAACTCAACAACACTTTTTAAACAAATATAGGGTAACTCATTATATTTCTAGGTATGCTTGGCAAAACAAAACAAAAAAGTTTTCAGCAGGTGTCTAAAACAGGGCAGCCCAACTTTTCATACAAAGGGAGGTGCAAGAGTACTTTGGAAGCAGCCTTGGCATGTGTGGGGCAGAGCGAGGCCAAAATTTGGCACCCCCCTCCCCAGCCTCCACACTGCTTTCCCAAAGCCCGCTAAGTGAGGAGCGAGGCTCTGGCAAGGTCCTAGAGCCCTCCTTCCTCCTTCCCAAGGCTGGGAAAGTGCAAATCAGACTTTGGGAAGGAGACAGGAGGACTCTGCTAGGGCCCTCACAACCTCCTTCCCAAAAACCATCTCCTTGATTACCCAACTTTGGGAAGGCAGTGCAAGGGCTGGAGGGTGTCAAATGTTGCTGAGGGCTGCAAAAAAGGCCTTGAGGGCCACAGGTGCCTAAAAACTTTCACCAAGGGCACCTGCTTAGTTGTCAATAGGCAAGGAGATCCGAAGTACAGATAAAGCCACACTAAAGAAATGTCTCCTCCCAATGCAGAACGGATGCGGCAATTGCACAGGCATGACTGTAAGCTCAATTAGATTGGCCACATGAGAAACATCACCTTCTCAGTAGTGGCCATAGGAAGTTGATTCATAACAAGGCAGAACATGTTGCTCAGTGTTGTCCAAAGTGCCTGGCAGTAGCTCTCCAGGATTTCAGGCAGGAGATATTCCTTGCCCAACCTGGAGATGTCGGGGATTGAACCTGGGTCCTTCTCCATGCAAAGCAGATGCTCTCCCACTGAGCAACAGCCTTTCCCCAATGTAGATCAATACATTGATGGTAGAGATAGTAGCAATAGTAGAAATGAGATCACCAGCAATGCCACTCAGTTAAATGAACATTCATTTATTAATTGTATGTATTTTAGTTTCATTAAATGCTTAAACCTGTGGAATGCCCTCCCATCAGATGTGAAGGAAATAAACAACTATCTGGCTTTTAGAAAACACCTGAAGACAGCCCTGTTTAGGGAAGTTTTTAATGTTTGATGTTTTACCGTGTTTTAAATATTCTGTTGGGAGCCGCCCAGAGTGGCTGGGAAGCCCCGGCCAGATGGATGGGGTATAAGTAATAAATTGTTGTTGTTGTTGTTGTTGTTGTTATATCTGCATATGAGAAGAAACAATAGGTCTAAAGAAAATAGAATTCTTTTTTGTTTTTTAAAGATGCCCGCCTGTGGCACAGCAAACATCATCTTACAAGAACCATTCCAGTCTTAGAAGAATCATCTGATCAAATACTGACACTGAGTGGCAGCTGCATGCAATTTGCTCTGGGATTTGCAAAATATTAGTCACTTATGTCACACCAGCTCTCTGTAAGTTATAGTACTTAGGGGAGAGCAAAGGAGCTTGCTATCAGGCTGGATTCTGAGCTGCCCCCCACCTTGTGCCGTGTTGACAGGTGGGCGGAGCCACCACCCCATTGCCTTCCAGATGCTATTGGACTCCAATTCTCATCAAGTCAGAGACATAGACCTTGTTCATCTCCAGATGTTCTTGGACTCCAGCTCTCCTAAAGTCCAGCTAATATGGCCAGAGGTCAAGGAAGGCAAGAGTTATAGTTTAGCAGCATCTGGAAGACCCAAGGTTCCCTACCCCTGCTTTAGCTGAAACTCTCTTTCTTGTAATTTGAACTCACTAATTCAGATCCTTATTCTCTGGAGCAATAGAAAACAATTTGGCTTCATCATCAACACAACAGCTCTTCAAATGCTTGAAGATGGCATCCATCCCACCACTTCATCATGTACCCTGCAGGCTAAAAATACCCTGCTCATTAACCTTCCCACTGGACTTGCTGAGTCATCATCTGTCCTTACCTGACCGTCTGGTCTCTCAGCCAGCCAGCATCACACTGGTCATAACCATTCTCATAGGCTGCCTGCAGCTGTTCAGGAGTGGCAATCACAGCATTATTATCCAGGCAAGCTTGCTGAGCTTTGACAAAAGTCAGGGAATACCTGTTGGTGGATGGCCGGTAATGAAAGATGACACCTGTTGAAGGAAAAGAAAAAACAACTGAAGGGGCAACTGGGCATGAACCCATCAACACTTGCATTGCATTTCCCCTAGGGATGTGCTAATATTTCTGCAATTTCAATATGTGTTTCCGGAGAACTGAAACCGACTCTAAAAGCAGTTCCCTCTGGAGGATGAGTGTATGTCACTGGTTTTGGCTCCGTCCTGTTTTCCTTGAAATATTTGTGATTAGGGATGTAGGAGAAATTCAGTTAGCTTTTTCCTTTTGATGCGAACCTACCCAATCTGCACTTCTTAAAACCATATGGAAAGCAGAATGCAGCTATTCTTTGAAATTCACACCTCTGAATTTTGCGATGTAGCGCTCCAACCCAATAATGTGCCCCAAAATTCATACAATAGGGGAAAGTATGCATAATAATGTGTGTCTCAGTGAAATCAATATACAAAATTCGCATTAGATAAGGGGCAATTGCGTGCAAAAACGTGTATATTCAGAAAAATGCAACTAAAATGCTGACAAATTTTCATGAGATCATTTTTTTTGAAGGTTTCTTAGCTGATGGAGAAATCTGGAGAGGTGAACACCGGATTGGAAAAATGGGAAACTGGAATTGCCAGACTTGTCCATTTCTAGGTGTGATCGGGTCCCTCTTGCGGGTTTCAGGTTGGCCACAGTGAGAACAGGATGCTGGACTGGATGGGACTTTGCTGGATCCAGCAGGCTCTTCTTACATTCTTATGTGATTTGTTGTGGACTGCACTGGGCTACTGAATCAGGTGGATTTTGTTACCCTGCATTTGCATACAGCACTAGGCATTGCCACATACCTGTGGGAGAAATGGGTTGCCCAGGAATGAGGCCAATATCAGGAGCAGCTGTTCCCGGCACAATTTGATCTTCCCCGGTAAATGGCAAGGTGGAGTCTACTCCTGGCGTGACGGTAGCCCACAAGCTGTCTTCCACCGAGCTCACCTCCAGGGTATCAGTGGTGGGAAGAGCATCTAGGAGCGAGAAGGTGGCGTTTTCTAGACCCTCCCAGATCCCCACATCTGTCCTGTTCTCTGCCTCTTCAACGAAGCTAGTAACAAAGAGATCTGGTGTTGCTGTGAAGCCTTCGTCCACCTCCGAGGCGGTAAAGTCTATTGGCTCCAAGGTGGCAATGCTGCCTCGGGCCTCCTCCTCGGTGGCGTTGCGTGCGAATTCCAGCTCAACATCTGTCTCAGTGACTGTCTGGATGGTGAAGCCACTGCCCAGTTCATCAATTATCTCGCCGGTGAAGTTCTCATGGATGATTGTGTCCAAGTCGCGACCTAGGGTGAAAGAGTGAGGATTCATGGGATATGAATGCAATGGAAGAATACAAAGTATTGCCAGGCTACAGCCTTAGGTCCCCCAAAGTCCTGAAACAATGCTACATCAGGGGGGTTTATAGGAAATTTACACAGTGGACAGATCTAACTCAGTATTGTCCACACTGACTAGCAATGGCTCTCCATGGGTGTCAGGTTACAGTGAATTCTGATCCTCCTCTGCTCACAGCAGACAGCCAAGGAAGTAGACAAGGAAGCTCGGTATTCACAGTGAGAGGCTCTTGTATGCTGCCTCTTAGATTAATGGCGCTGCTCCAGCTGAGCTCCTCCCCCCTTCCTAGCAACAGCACTTCCCCTTATGGTGGCCACCAGGGGCTAATTGTCTTTGAGTCCTTTGCTGTTCCACTTTCAATGCACACTGGGTTTTGGGAGAAGGGGGGTCGGGAATGCTTTCCAGTGATAACATGTCAGCTGGCTGCTCTGTCTCTGTCTCCCCCTTCTGTCCTCCCAACACCTCCCAACTCTTCTGTTCACCTGTCTCTGAGCTGTGACCTTCCTCAAACCACTGCTGTAACTCAATACAGGACCGCCTATGGGACCACCTCTCCTGGTATGCCCTGTGGAGGACCTTAAGGTCCACAAATGACAACATTTTGGAGGTCCCAAGTTGCAAGATGGTTAGATTGGTCTCAACTAGGGCCAGGGCCTTTTCAGTACTGGCTCCGACTTGGTGGAACGCTCTGTCACAAGAGACTAGCGCCCTGTGGGACTTGACATCTTTCCACAGGGCCTGCAAGACAGAGCTGTTCCGCCTGGCCTTTGGTTTGGACTCAGTCTGACCCTCCCTTTATGGTTTTGATCTATGGGCTACTTTTAAAATGAGGCTGCATTTTAAATTGCATTTTAACCTGTATTTTAAATTGTCCCCCCCCCATTATGTTTTTACTGTAATTTTACTGGTGTTAGCCACCCTGAGCCCGGCTCTGGCCGGGGAGGGCAGGGTACAAATAACATTTATTATTATTATTATTATTATTATTATTATTATTATTACTGCCTTCCTCTTCTCTAAAAGGTTCAAGGGGAGGACGGCCGGCCTCTACCATTCCTCCTCAGTCCCATTCCCCTCAGCCCAGTCCCTGACAATAGGTGTCTCTCCCAGTCCCATCACCTCTTCCACCCAGTAAAGGTGCAAGTTCTGATGGTGACAGGAGGTTAGATAACCCACTGACTACTACTGGAGATTGGCTGATGACTCTCATGCTTCTGTACTCTTGCATCTAGGAAAGTACGAAGAAATAACTTGGGACCCAGCACTTACCAGCGTAGCAGATGGCATCATAGCGGGAATGGGGGTGAGGATACCCTGTCTGGTTGACGTGGAGGTACACGGTGCGCACCCCGACCAGGCCGCCGCCACAAGTGGGCCGTGCCTTGTTGATGGGATACCGGACGCTGCGGTCTGCCAGCCAGCCAGCGCTGCAGACATCCATCCCATCTTTCCAGGCCAAGTACAGTTCTCCCGTCGTTGCCAAACGAGCGCCGAGGCGGTGGCATTTCTCTGCAGCTTCTGGGAAGCTGAATTTCTCCGGGGATGTGGCATAGAAGACTTTCCCTGCAATCACACACAGCAATTATTATTTATTACAATTGATTTATTAATTGCCCTCTAAACCACTGTCTCAAGGCAATTTACACACAAGATAGTTAAAAGCACAAAAACAACAAGAGCCCAAACCCTAACAATTGGACACTCATGGTCAAGACCGGTTTAACTAGCTGGGGAAGCCTATTGGGACAAAAATGTCTTCAATTGTTTCTGGAAAGTGGAGATAGTGGGCACCTGTCGTGTCTTGACAGGATTGCTATTCCACAAAACAGGGACAGCCACACTGAAGGCCTTGATCTGAGTTACTGTGGCTTCTGAAATCTTTGGAATTTGCAGGAGAAGCTCTCCCACAAACTGCAGTAATCTAAAGTACTTAAACCAAGGATTAGCCGAAGGTTTGCATCTTTTCCTTTTTACACAGTGATCTTGGCCTTTTCTTAGATAGTTCACAAGGTCAAGGGGTCAAACAGAACAGAGGTGAGGAGATTCAAAATGGCAAGCATGTCATGAATAGGAAAGATAGTTTGAAGATACTGGATGAAAGCCAAAGAGATTTATATAGTTAAGAGTTGCCACTAAAATGTCATTTGAACTGGCTGATGCGAGACTGAACCAAGCGAGACTCAACTCAGCTGATGCCTGGGGAACGGGGTCCAACCCTACAATCTGCAAGGCCAGCCAGTTTCCTTGAGGAGTTTAATCCTCCTCACCCCTGCAGCCACCTTTACCTGCCTGACTCCGGGCATCACATATGACATCAGATGTGGGGCAGGCAGTCATGGCTTGGAGAAAATGGCTTTGTGGTCTAAATGGCGAGATGTGACAGGTGAAGTTTGTTCCAAGGGCTGGAGGTTCACCACCACTGGGGCAGATAAGATTGCACGTATATTTTATTCAAAATGATATCCGTGAGCACTTGGAGAAGCTAACTCGTGAATGTAAAGTCACCCAGGGGTCTGCTGCACCACAAGAGGGCCACAGACCACCAACTGTCATGAGTACCTTGAGGTGGCAAATGGAGTGTATAAGTGTTAAATAAGTAAGAAACAATTACCTTCCATTTCTTCTGCATAACAATACACATCGTACGTCTCATCCGTCTCACGAACACCGTATGTTCTCACTCCAGGAAACTCATCCTTGTCACCATAACAACCTTCCCGGGGATGGTGCATTGGGTACCTGATTCAGTGAGAGATTCAGTGAGAAGAAGAAGACTGTGTTGCCTGGGGGTGGGGTGGAGAAATACTGTTTACTGTATGGTGCTGGGATGGAGGTAGTATCTTGAAGAGCAAAGGGAACCTAAGCAGAATTTGGATATACACCTATGCATGTATGAAGAGCCTAGCAGCTGGATCAAAAGCCCATCTAGTCCAGCATCGTCACAGATGCTCATGGGAAGCCTGGAAGCAGAACCTGAATGCAACAGCAGCTGTCCCCACTTGATATACTACCGCCAGCAGTAGAGGTAGAACATAGGGATCAGGGTAAGTAGCCAAGCCATAGACAGTGTTGACCTCATAGATTTGTCTAATCCTCCTCTAAAGCCATCCAAGTTGGTAGCCATCATTGCACCCTGTGGGAGCAGTTTCCATAGTTCGACTGTGTTGCATGAAGAAGTAAATTATATTATCTATGCTGAATCCCCAGGATGTAAAAGTATGAGAGAGGGGGGAGAAAACCACCTCCCTATTCACTTCCCCTATGCCATGCATGATCTTAGACACCTCCATAGCGTACCCACTCAATTGCCTTTTCTCTAAACAAAAAACCTCCAAATGTTGCAACTGTTTCGCATAGGGAGTTGCTCCAGCCCCTTGATCATTTTGATTACTGTTTTCTGAACCTGCTACAGCTCTACAACTTCCTTGTGGAGGTGAGGATGGCCAGAAGTGTACACGGTATTCCAAGTGTGGTTACAGCATAGAGTTGTGTAACGGCATTGTGATATTGGCTGTTTAATTTCCAGTCCCTAACATGGACTTCTCCATCTTCACAGCTGCCACACACTTGGTCAATAACTTCACTGAGTCATCCACTACAACCCCCAGGTCTTGTTCCTGGTCAGTCATCACCACTCCAAAGCTCTTTAGCATCTATATGAAATTTGAGAGAGAAGGCCAATGTGCATCCCTTGATCTGATTGGGGGGGGGGATGTTCCATTAACCTGGGAAATTGCAGGAGCAAAGTGATGAAAATTGGGGTGGCATTCCCACATGCAGTTCTTCCTTGCTGTTTTCAGGGGGGAATTATGAGGGAAAAGGAGCACGCATGTGCAGAAAAGATGGAAGAATAGCGACGTCCAGTGACATTAGTTGTGATGTCCGCTGGTGTGAATGAAATCTGATATAACATGAGGGTATATGGGTCAAAAAGCTACAGTTCCGTAACCCAACAGGTACTGCAGTACAAAAAGAGCAGGAAAATCAACAATATACCCAATGCCATGTTGCAGAATACAGCTGCAAGAAGCAAAAAGCGGTGTGGAACAGCCCCTAGTCACATTGACCTCTGACCCTTTTCTGATTCCTTGTCCATGATAACCTGAATTTTCCCCAATGACCAATTTCTCCCCTGTGGTTTGTTCATATAATTCCCTGCCAGCACTCACCTGACTGTCTGATCAGCCAACCATCCAGCATCACACTGGTCAAAGCCATCGTCATAGGCAGCCTGAAGCTGCTCTGGAGTTGCAATGACAGCACTGTTCTGGATGCAGGCCTGCTTAGCCTTCTCAAAGTCCAAAGTGTACCGGGTGGAGATGGCTCTGTAATGGAACACGATGCCTGGAAAACACATTCACCAACATACACACATGCATCAGTAAATAACCCAAACCAGTTGAGTTTAAAATAAAAGTGAGGCAGAGGGCAGCGACTTAGGATTTTCAGGAACTGGAGTGATACTGCAGAGAATCTAGAGTTGCCTGTGTGCTTGCTTCTGGGTCCCTGCAGGTCTGAAACACATAAACTTCCCTTTTGAGGCCCACGGGCCCTCCTTCAAACTGGAGAAAGTGTTGCAGGCACCGCACACAAACACACACGCTGCAACCAAGCACACACCGCAACTTATTCTCATTGGATACAACACAATGTTTCTTTCAAGTCAAATTTCAGGACGGGCAGGGGAAAGGTACCATGGTGGTGACATTAAATGGGTAAGTCCATTTGATCAGTCTATTTGCCCCCCCACCTTTAACACCAATTGATAGGTGAGCAGGATTACTACCATGGCAAGCACAGAATGCAGTTAAACGTTTTGCCCCATGTCTGTCAGGATGCCGTCAGCGGCTCCCGGCTGGTTGCCCAGGAATTATAGAGACAAGGAAAAGTTTCTTACAGCCTTTTTAAAATTTCTGCACCCGTCGTCTTTCCCACTTTCTCATTCCTCATTCTCATCATCTCCTCTACGGGTTCTGAGAAGTGTCCTCTGTCTTTGAGTTCTTTGCTCTCCTACTTTTAAGGCTCTCTGGGTTCTGGGGTATGGAGGGCCTGGAAAGCTTTCTAATGACAATGTTTCAGCCGGGTGTTGCTCTTCCATGATTTCCCAACTTCCCCCTTCATCAGCCTCTGAGCTGCGACCTCCCTCAACCCCCTGTTGTAAATCTATACTGTCTTCCTCTTCTTCCTCCCTGGTAAGGGTCAGGATGGGGAGGAGGTCTCCACCATTCCTCTTCTGCCCAGTCTCCGACAATGTCATGGGCCTGTCAAAATCCCCCCACTCTTGCAATTAGAAGCAAACTTCCATGGTTGCCAACTTCTCTTGCATCTAACAGCCGTTGGTGATGGTGGGCCGCGCCAAACTCACTGCCTCCTGGTAAGCTGCAGAAATGCCAGTAGTGGAAGGTGCGGTAAGCCCTGCTAGCTTGCCCTGGCAACCACTCCTTGTGTGAAGTGCATGGCCATCTGGATAACCCAACTCAAAAAGGTCAGCCATAGCGGCAGCAACAGGAAAAGATGCAACCTTACCTTTTACCTTCACCTCTACGGTGTCCTGGCTATCCTCAATGCCATGTATCACCTCGCAGCGATAGATCCCGGTATCGTTGGAGCGAAGTGTCTTGATTTCCAGCGTGGCATCAGTGGGTATGGCTGGGTAATTGGGCAAAGAGACCACCTCCTGGTATGCAGTGTTGATTCTCACGTGCCCATCCATGGCCACCAGCAAGACAACCTCTTTGCCGCCCGAAAGCTTGCTCCATTTGATCCGCGGAGTCAGAGGCGGGGTGAACGGAGACGTGGTGACGTGTTCCAATGTGTCAATGTAGTAACAAGGGATGGTCAGGGTGTTTCCCAGGGGAATGCGCAGGGGGGAGCGTAAAGGTATGCTCACACTCAGTGTGGCACCATGATCTGCTGATTCCAAGAAGATGAGGAGGTGAGAGAGGCAGAAATCAGCAGCATTCATCCATTGCTAGGCATGGTGGCTATTGGTGGCATGCGGTGAAATCTTTCATAGGGGCATCGTTAGGCCTAGAGGCACCAGCTTACAAAGGTGATGGGGCCCCCGACATCATGTGTGCCACATCACAATGTCCTGATGTTGCACGCATGAACATCGCACCTCCCTAAGCCGGGCAGAAACCTCCGGGCTTTGGGAAGGGGGTGCCAGGCCTTGGACAGGATACTAGAGTCCTCCTGCCTCGTTCCCAAAGCTGGGGAGGCTTTGGGAAGATGGTGGGAGGGCCTGGACTCAGTCATAGCATCGCGCCTCCCAGGGCCGTCTTAAGCATATCTGGTGCTGTGGTTCAAAGCTCCCTCTGACGCCACCCCCCCATTTCCCAGAGTTGTCGACCTTTTCCCAAGCCTCTGCGGGGATTGCTCGCCTCCCGTGGGGACTTAGGAAGGTAGCTGCACATCAGCCAGCCATATAGTTGGCGGGGCGCAGCTTCCATCCTAAGCCTCTGCGGGGATCGCTCTCCTCCAGGGGACGCTTGGGAAGGTAGCTGCACGTCCTCCAGCCATATGGCTGACGGGGCGCAGCTGGCAGACATGCAGGAGGGAAAGGGGAGGCCACTGGCAAAGCTGCGCAACTTCCCCACTCACTGGGGTACCCCTGAGAGGCCGGCGCCCTGGCACAACTCGCCAGTAAACCCAATGGGAAAGACGGCTCTGGCGCCTCCCTCTCTAAGCCAGGTAGAAGCTTCCCAGGCTTTGGGAAGGAGGTGCTAGGCTTTAATATTCTAATCTACTGGGAACATGTAAGGGACTAGCCTAGTGCCCCATGTCCATAGACCTCACACCACTGGTAGCTAGATTCTGCCTCCATGTTTGGAAGCAGTAATGCTTCTGAATACTAGGGGAAGGGAGAGTGCTCTTGTTCATGGGTCCTGTTTGTGGGCTTGCCACATGCAACTGGCTGGCCGCTGTGAGAACAGGATACTGTTCACAGGAAGGGGCTTGAGGCCTAACACTATCCACACACAAAACTTCATATATTTTAAGGATGGCTCCGGAAGTCTCACATACCTAAAACTTCCACAGCGACAGCTGCAGTGATGATTCGCAAACACACAAAGGCTAGTAGAAAAGTGGTCATTGTTTTCCTGAAAGAAGCACAAAGACAAAAGAGCTGTGTTAGAGAGAAATGGACAGCACCATCTTTTGTGGAACGAAGGTGGCAAGAAGTGAGAGTGGCTCCTGTATTTGCGAGAGGTGTGGAGCAAGCGTCAGTTCAACTAGGGGCGATCTTCTGGAAATGACAATGGGGGAGAAGAACCTTCCCTGTCTGATATATTACTAATTAGTAATGTTAATTAGGTTGTATCCAGTGTTGTTGTTGTTTCTACCTTTCCTCCAAGGAGCTCAAGGCGGCAAACTTGGTTCACCCCCTCTCCATTTTATTCCTACGTAACCGTGTGTAGCAGGTTAGGCTGAGAGACAGTGACTGGGTCCAAGGCCACCCATTGTACTTTATGGCTGAGTGAGGATGAACCCTGATTTGCAAAGTCCTACACTGAACTGCTAACTGCTATACCATGCTGGCCTACTCAGAGTAATCCCATTGAAATGAATGTATGTGAATAACTAAGGTTCATTAATTTCAGTGGCTGTACTCCAACTAGAACTTAGCTGGATACAATCTATCATGATGATGTAAAAAACCATCCTGGAACCACTTCTGGTGAAGGTGCAGCATATAGAAAGACATAACAAACTGGAGAGAAAGTGGTGGCCAACACATGAAAATAGTGGATGATATTCAGAGAAGATTCAGCAAAGTGGCCTTCTTTTTCTAGGCACCTGGTAGGCTACTGTGGAAACAGAATTGGCCTTGGGCCTGATCCAACAGGCTCTTATTCTGTTCCTATGCTCTTAGTGCCTATCACTTTCATTGGGTGATCCGCCTAGTATTATGAGACAAGGAGAAAAATTGTGAGTCCATTCTCTCTATACTAATCGAAAAACAAACCAAAACACCCCTCTATTGTGGCCTCTTAGTCATCTATTTTTCTGCATCTGAGCACCATAAGGACATAAGAAAAATCCTGCAGGACCAGACCAAAAGCCCACCAATTCCTGCATTGTGTTTTGTGCAGCGCCTCTAGGATGACTGCAAGCAGACTGTGAGTGCAATAGACTCCCCCCCTCTTGTATTCCCAAGCAACTGGCGTTCATATTATCATTCTTTCTGGAATCCTTCTAAGCAAGCAGCCATCATCACCCCTTGCAAAATTGGGTGCTGGTAGTCAGGAATGCAGACCATTTTCTACACAACATGACACACTGCTGTCTCTCTTTCCTCTATTCAGGTAGGCAAGATGCATTATCAGAGTTAAAAAACATATTCTAGATGGGAAAACCACTTAAGGAGGGTGGAAAGCAGGGCTGGAGAAGGGTGTGGTCTGATAAGAGGGGGTGTGGCTGGGGAAGAGGGTGTCCTGGGAATAGTCCCAAGGGCCACACTGAAAGGTGTGGAGGGCCACATTTGGCTCCTGAGTCTGAGGTGCCCCGCCTCTTACTGTAAGTAAATAAATATGGCATAAAAATGGACATTGGTTTATCGAACTTGGACCAACCGCCAATCAGTTTCATTTTGTGACCCCTCAACCACACCATGGGCCAGAACAGAGATCTGATGCTTGCAGAGTCCTGCCCAAACAGGGCTCTCACATAACGGAGGAAATGTGGAGGAGCTCTGGTTCATTTGGGTCCCGTGATTTGGTGCACACTTCTGTGAACAAATCCCTGATTGTTTTCACAAGATGCCTTCCTAGAACTGAGAGTTTTTCTGTTCAAAATCCAGCTTGCTTCAGGAAATGGGAGGGGATAGTTTTTAGGCAGGGGAGGAACTCGTTTTACATCCCCCCCCCCTTCTTAAATAAGGCAAACGCTGGAACCCAAATACAGAAATAAATATACTTCTGTGACTTTTTGTGTGTGTGTTTTCTCAGCTGTAGCAAAAATAAGAAATTTATTCCATTCTGACCGGCTTCCAAACCACCCCAAGACTGAAACTCCTTTATACATTTAGCTACTTGGGATGATGCTCTTCTCTCCTGTCCTTATTATTTTTTGTTTTAATTGCCACAATTCCTTGGTCATCAAATTAACTGAAACAAAATAACATGCTCTTCAACATTTCTCCACTGAAAATAGGGACGTCCCATTCCATAATGATAATTTTACTATTCATCTTACTGGGTTGCCCCAGCCACTCTAGGCAGCTTCCAACATATATAAAAACATTATAAAACATTAAACATTAAAAAAACCCTTCTTATACAGGATTGCCTTCAGACAGCTCGGGCGTCAGATAACTCCTTACCCTCCAATGAAATAGGGACATCCTTAGGAAAAGTGGGACATCCCGGGATCAAATCAGGAACTGGGACGGCTTCTCTAAATCAGGGATGTCCCTGGAAAATAGGGATATCTGGAGCGTCTGAAATAAGGATATGTTTGGACCAGCCTGTTTCCCAAGTTATATTCTAAGAAGGAGGAGCTGGCAGAATTATTTATGTCAGCCCCATTAGGCAGAGGTATGTGTGCATTGGAGGGCAAAACCAGGTTATTAGCTGAACGCACGGATGCACTGAAGGTGTCTGAGTTTTATACAAACGAATGCAAAGGGATTTCCGTCTAAGTAAATGTGCACCTTACATTGGAAAGAACAGCCAGATTTTGGAAAATCTGAAAGCCCCATAAAGACAACAGGTCTTCACTGGGTGCACCTCGCGTCTGCTGTAATGGGAGCTAGCATTTCACTCTTGAAAGAAAACATAGCTTAGAGCTGTCATCTTCAGGCACCCAGGACCCAGCCTATAAATCGATTTTCTGAATAGGCCTATCTTTCTCTATTTCTCTCTGGATCATCAATTGCCCAAAGAGGACAGGACAGGAGGACTTTGTGAACCAAAGCACATTGTGTGCGTGTGTGTCTAATTAATTCACTTTTGTTTTGAACCAAAAGCAGCCAGCAGTGCCTTAATACAGTGTCACACTTCTGATCCACATTGTTCCTTGTGCTGGTTTCCTGCTAGAAAAATCACCCCCACCAGAGCTACTGTTTGCCCCCAAAGGTGCAGTAAACTGCGATTACTTTCAGTAAGCTGCAATTAATGTTAACAAGCTGTTTAGGTCTATTACCCAGCTGTCTATTACCCAGTCATTCGCCTTCTCTCCTTTTCTTTCTTTCTTTCTTTCTTTCTTTCTTTCTTTCTTTCTTTCTTTCCTTCTTTCCTTCTTTCTTTCTTTCTAACACAACAGTCCTGGCATCACCATGTGATATGCTTTGGCATCTACCAGGACCCCATTACTCCAGAAGGGCTCTTGGGCAGCCAAGCACATTTCCAGGACCTCCTTTAATTTTTTTCTGGCACTAAGTCTGGTAGCTTCCTATCATGAGGCAGAGTGAGGCAGCTGCTTCAGGCGGCAAATTCTGAGGGGGGGGGGAAGTGGCTAGAAAGGTGTGCCATGTGGTATGCCCTGCAGCCCCTAAGCTAGCTTGCCACCATAACAGCTGGCACACCAATGAGGTGACATGAGGCAAACCAGCTTGGATGGTATGCGCCTACCTCTCCACTGGAGCATGTGCCTGGATCTGCATGGGGAAGCATTGGTGGCATGTCTTGCCTCAGGTGCCCAAAAGTCTTGGGCTGGCCCTGGCTACCGTGTTAATTCCTCTAGCACCTGTGATGTGGTGCTGCCCTTTGGGACTGGAAGGGCGGAAGGCAGGGAGACCAACAGCAGGTGGTGCGAGAGCCAATGACAGGCAGAGTCAACCCATTCTCCTCTGTCTTGTGTTCTCCAATGGCGGCGCTAAGGTAAAGAGGAGGAAGCTGATAGGCTGTGCTCTCCCCTGGCTGCTTGTAAGTAAGAAGGCAGGCAGGTGAGGACTGGCTGAGGTTAGCTGGGGGTTTGTGGGGCAGTGCCCCATTTGTCTTAATGGAGCAGCCTCTAATGCAA